AGAAATGAGGCACCCAGACAAGTTCAACAGTCCGTTGGGAGTTCTGAACGTCGGAAACATCATCGTAACTCTGCTCTTGCTTATCATGGGCTTCATCGGATACCTCAAGTATGGAGATGATGTCCAGGGCAGTCTCACACTCAATCTCCCTCATGATAACACGTGAGTTGACTCTGGGATAGAAGATTATGCTATTTATACAATGTAAGTCAAGTACGTTTCACTCTTAAGTTTCCTTTTCAACTTTTTTTCATTCTTATACCCTTAAAAATTGTATGACTGTGGATTTCTATGGAGTTATATTTTGAATACAGAGACAATGCTCTTCCCCTAAGGGAGCAATACTTTTTTCTTCATAACCTCCGCTTTAGAAAATAGCTAATAGCCTTTTGATGATTGACAGCATTTGAACACAGATATTTGACGCTCTTGTACACCCATTCATTACCATTACCATTACAAACACCCATTACCAGGGTCATTACTAAAACCATTGCCTTCAACACTCAGGACTTCAGAACTTCAGCATTGCCTTTAACATTATTGACATTTTTGAGCATTTGACTCCTGTCTCAAGTCTCTATACTTCAAATACAACTATAGTTGGTTGTTTGCTTGATAGACGAGTCCTAGTGCTCAACTATGACATAGAAGATCGCCAGTTCGATCCTGAGAAAAGTAGCTTTTGGATGGTTCGAAACAGGGACAGCTGATCTTGATTATTGCTCTTAATCCTGTCTAACGAACAGCTGATCTTAGTCAGTGACAAAGCTATACAGATGACAACTCTTCATCCTACACTTACCCAGCGTTCATATACGACTTAAAATATGTACGTAAAGTATGCTGCCTTAGTGAAATGATTGAGTGATGAAGTGAGGTTATATTTAAGTTTTAGGAGGATTGCGTTTTGGACAGTCTTTAATATAATTTATTGCCTACAGGCTGTCCCAGTGTGTGAAAATAGCCATCGCCATCGGTATCTTGTTGACGTACCCGATCATGTTCTACGTTCCTGTAGCTCTGATCTGGCCGGCTGTGGTAGAACGTTGGGGACCTTTTGACAAACCTGTCAGATACGAAATCATCCTAAGGATACTACTGTGTCTTCTAACTTGTGAGTGAATACTTGCGAATCTTTTGTTTATTTAACTTTTTGAAAATTAACATAAAATATATGACAGGATTAAGTTTGGAAATGTCCAGGTTACAGACGTTTTTTAATCTTTACTCCAAGAAATATTCATTGAATAAAAATTTATAATTTTTTATCATGTTTTCCCCTTATTACACCTTGGAGCGTTTGATAAGACCTAATGCCATACTAACACCACCAGTTACCCAAAGACCCAAGCAAAGTAGATCTTGAATGTCTTTCAGTTTGCAGCAAATATCAATTAAAGCTTACAGCCTTATAGTTTACCTCTTTTACTTTACCACTATACTCCGTTCAATAAATTTAGGCGGTTTTAGGGGAAGAAATCCATCCCCTCAATGTCTTGATCTTACCATTAAAACATAGCTCAACAGCTGAGATTTGTCAAAACGTCAATCAGCTGCAATAACATACATTAAGCAGAAAAAAGTAGGGGGGATCTTCCCCTCAACAGCGATCATCCACTTGTCCAATTTTTTTTAATTATGAGCATAAAATCAGTATTCTTATGATTTGTGATTATATTAAAGCGTTCTACATTGCTTTGAAATAGCTATGGGTAGCTGAGTGGTTACAGCACTTCCCCAGTAATCAACATTCACTAGTTAAATCCTATGAGAAAATATGAGTTTTTTAATGTATTAAAAATTGACCCGGCTGTTCTTAATCATTGATTAGAATTATGGTTTTGGCTAGAGAAACAGCTGATCATCAGTAACGATTAACAAAGGTAGAAACAACACTCCATCCTGCCATCAGGTTTAAAATATGTTGCTTTTAGATTCCTGTCTCAAATCTGACTTTCTGTTTAGAGTCTTTCTTTAATTTTGTTCTCATCTTTTTCAGTTGTCCTCGCCGAGGTAATACCAGACCTCAGTCTATTCATCTCGCTGGTCGGCGCAGTCAGCAGCACGGCGCTAGCGCTGGTGTTCCCCCCTCTCTGTGATATAAGCATGCGCCAGCTAGACGGAGACTTTGGCTTCCTAGGCTGGCGTAAGATGGTGAACTATCTAACGCTCCTCATCGCTTTATTCGGTTTTTGCACCGGAACGTACTTTAGTTTAGTTCACATTGTACAGTCTTTTGGCTTACACTGATTTTGTAAAAAATAGTTTCTTAGACTTAGGCAGTTAACTTATTTATTTAAGTGAAAGTGTCAGATGTTTCTTGTGCTTTCAAATTTTGAGTGAATTTTTATATGATGATTAAAGTTGTAGATGAAAAGTAGAGAAAAAACCTTTTGCTGGATTTATCAAAAGGTGTGGTGAATGGTTTCCAACAATTTCATTGTAATTTTTGTTAAATCCTTTTCCAGTTTTATCGGGTTTCGAAACTTAGTGATCATAAAATCTAAAAATATTTAACGCACGTTTCTTATCGTATGTATTGACTTAATAGAGTTCAAAACAATTTTTAAACCCATTTTTTCTGATTGATGAAGTGATAAGAAACACATTTTTATTAGTACCTAAATGTTTAAATTTAAGACATTTAAATTTAACTATGTGTAAATATTCAATCAAATAGTTGTAATATTTGATTTTTTTAGGCTCACATACTTACTTTGTACTCAAAGAAACATATTTATTTTTTAAGCTTTCCTCCATCCTCAGATGACTTTTAAATAATATTAGTTAATTATGGTAATTTTGCACTGTATTCTTAAATATTTATATGATCTAGTATAAAAATACTTACCTTTTAGTATAAAAAGAAGTATAAATGAGTTTAGATAATTAATTATTGTAAATATTTGTAGATAGTTTTATACCTAATGTATGTATATTGTAATTAATGTGAACAAAATGCTGTGATACGACTTTTCCATTTTAGAGAAATTGTAAACTCGTTTTATCATTTAGGATATCGCCCATTGAGAGTAATAGAACTAAGTAAATGTTTTATAATTGATTCACTGACAAAATTACTTTTAACTTTTTATTGGAGCGTGACAATTATTATGTATACCCTTTGACTATTGTTAGAACTTCAGTACCGGAATCCAAAAGTCAATGGTAGAACTTAAAAAATTGTATTCATGCCACTGCTAACAACTTTCAAAAATATTATCAACCATACCAAAGTTTCTATAGAACCAACCACAAATACTTAAACAGAATCAGTATGGATTGTTAACATAAAGAAATGACGTTGCTGGCCTGAATCCTATACTAGCAATAACATGTGGTTAATTTAAGCAATAATGTTTATTTTCCGGCCAGTAACATAATTTGTTTATGTTTATGATCCATACCGTGTCTGATGAAATATTCATTGAACCAACCCAAGTTAGAATTAACAAATTCACCTCAAGTGGCAGCAAAATACAAATTCTTGGCTTCTGTATCAAAATTGTATATTTTATAAACAAATGTAACAAATTAATTAGGTTAACTTGTTGAGATTTATCTTCTAAGTTGATAAGTTAAAATTGTATTTTATCACTGTGATTTCTGTAAATTAAAGTATTATTGTGTAAGTATTTTCTATTTTAGGAGTAGGTTTTAGGAAAACACTGTATTTTGGAGAAATAGATGATGATGCATAATTCTTGTTGAAATGTTTAAACATTAAATGTAGAATAATAATAGAGTGTATATAAAATTTTAAAATAGATTGTACATATTTATAACATGCAATTAGAAGAATAAAGTACATTTACAACATACTTTTGTTTAATAGACTTCTCTGAGAAGGTGTACCAACCCAACCTACCATGTGTTTACAAAGCTAAAGAAGCCCATTGTTATAACTTTGGTTTTTTAGCTTAGCTGTTTACGGCAGAATTGGAATTTTAAAACTCTTCAACTCTTGTTTGTTACATATAATTATAGGTTAGATGAATACTTTTTAAACTTGAGTTATTTCTCAACTCGATAAACCTCTTCATCTCGAGTTATGAGGCAAGTTAAACTTGAGTTGGATCTCTTGTGCTCGCTTGGTTGTAAGTGTTGATTCCACAATTATACTCGGTCTTTTTTAGTTGGTTGTGAATATAATATGACTTCACTCCTACAATAAGAGTTGAGTTAACCCTCAGTTTATGTGTTCCCATGACTATAGGTCTTAAGTGATTAAACTAAATTCGTAATCAAGAGTGTAGTTGCTGATTCTCAAATTTAGCACACATAACAGCTGATCTTAGTCAGCAACAAAGCTACACAAATCAACGATCAACCCACACCATCCTTCACTCATATTTGGATTACAACATGTTCCTAGGTGGCATCCGATATAATTTAATAATGATAAGTTGACAACTGACTCAAGTTGAGTTGACCATTGCCTTGAGTTGACCTTTGGCTTGGATTGAGTTGACCATTGCATTGACTTGATCATTGCCTAATGACCATAACCTTGAGTTGACTACTGACTCGGATTGAGTTGAAAATTACCCTTGAGTTGACACATGTTTGACTAAGGTGTATTGATGATAACTAACATCTGACACACCTAGATAAGTACAGGAGAGAACACAAATCTGCAGTATCTTTATTGCTGTTTCCAAAGTATTCCGAATACACCTTTGAGTCTCATGGTTAAAACATGTAAGTTACTAGCTATAAAGTGAAATTTACTACCCATGAAATGTTTGACAGTTTAAAAAGATATACAAGGGATGTGCAAAAACTACGAACACATTTTCACACCAGTGCAGTGTTACATAGCAAGTGACGTTGTTGACCAATAACACATACATAATATTGTACACATTGATTCTGAATTTTTAAAGCGAAAGAATGTTTACTGTTTGAACAAACACTTGAGTTGGCGTGAGCCGACTATTGTGTGCAAAGAGGCAAACACCTGTCCCTAATACTAGTTATCTCAAGAGCAACAAAGAGACGAACCTCGGAGAAGATAAGTTGAGCTTATAAGCAGATATGTGATCGATATATGTCAAACCGATACTGTGTGGCGCGGCTCTTGTTGCTATAAGGTAAGTAGGACATGCACGGGTCATTGACATGATTAATTAGTCTTAGAGATAAAAATTAAGTAAGATATAACAGCCAATGGTTAGTTGTTAATGTATTTAGTTTATTTGTGTTCGGTTTTATTTCCACTACACGCGCCACTAGACATGTACGCAATTTTGTTTTTTGCGGTGGACATATCATGAAAAAAGTTTTACAAAAAATAACTTTGTACAGAAATGGTGGTTGTATAGAAATTTAAGATTAGTTGAAGTAAAATTTGTAAAATAAAGTCTTATTTACTTTTGGGAACATAAAGATTGGTGGAACAGGTTTTAAGATTGAAAATATTAAATTTGTCAAACAAAGTGTTTTAGGAAAAAGAAAATTAGGCTCACAAGATTACTGGTTAGAGATGTCCCTTAACCAAATGTTTTCTTATAACAAAATTCTTCATGATCATTTTTGTCAGAGTATTAATTAAGTAACTAGCTTTTAAAATTGCAAACTTATTGATGTCAGGGCACTTAATTGTCACAACTTCATTTACTAAAAGTGAGCAAATATTCAAAAATAAATAACAAAGCCCATAAAAGACTTGGTTTTATATTGCTGTAACCAATCTTGATTCTGATACCAGAACATACACGTACATGGCAAAAACCCTCAAATCCATCCTTCTTCTCCACAAAAAAAATCTTAAATACCGTCAAATCCTCCTTCTCTGCAAAAAAAATCCTGAATATGGTATTGGGCTTACAAAATGTATTACAACAAGCCTGTAGTAATATTATTAAGTACTAAAATCTGGAACACAACTTGAAATCACTATGATAAGAGGTAATCTGTCACTCATCGGGATCGTCCCAGATTTTTAAACTCCCACTGCTCTATATTAGACAAATCCATGCACTAAAGAGAGAACTTTAAAATACCCCTGCAACAGCAAACCTGCAGACTAAGCAAATTACCATTTACACCTGGCTGAATTTCCACTAAAATACTACCCTTAATATTGTCATCTTCTATTTATATTAAATAGCATTAAATTTAACAAGTATACTACATAGGTTTGCTGCTACAGGTGTTTTTTTATTGAAATATTGATAGCCTAGGACGCAATTAATAAAAAAAATTGCTAAATTGCATTGTAGGATTTACTATAAATTAACCTTTTGCCTCTATATTTACTCTACTCCATACTTGCAGAACATTAAAATTTTTTCTCATGGCAATTAAACTTAGAATCAGACCTTTGGGTTTTCATGAGTGTTGTACCGGATGAAAGATTACTAAAGATACTATAGTTGCTATATTTATAAAATTTAGTTTGAAATCAATTTCATAGCCACAAAAAAAGCTTTAGTTAGCTATGTAAAAAACTAACAGAATAACAAATGGAATAAGAACTAACAGTTTGTGACCTTGGAACTCTAAATGCATATAACTGTAAAGTGCAACAATATCTTGTTTAAACAACAATATACTTAAGGTGGATTATAGCTATAAATCCATCTTGTTTACTCAGAAATGTGAGAGTGGTTTTGACGTCAGCCCCTTAACAGAAATAAGCCTATTTCAGAAACACTGAGGTTATCAACAAATAAAACAATTGTTAATTCTTATGACATTGTTTCAGATTATATTTGTTCCAGCAGAGGGGCATTTGGAGAACAAATCTAGATAACCATTCTAAATCAAAATAGTCATCAGTTTGTAAAAAAGTTTAAAAAATTTTAAACATCAATTCAATCTGTTACAGTCAATGAGACGATGTTTTTAGAAAACTGGTTACCGTAAAATCCCATTTTTAAGTAACTTAAACTAAAGATTTGTACAAGCAAATTTTCCCCTTTTGACAAAACTGTTGGAAAATTATAATTAAAATGTGTTATCCTCAATACTTTAGATCAAACACTAGTCCCTGATGGATCTGAAGCCTCCTCCTTATGAGAAACCTCCTCCAATTCCGGAGTTGCCGGATCATTTCCCGGCTGTGGAAGGGGTCGGACAAATGCAGCGGCCCAAACACCCAACATCGTAAGTCTATCCTTTCTTGCTATCAGGTTTAAATCATATAGTAGGTAATGATTTGGGGAAATAGCAGATCCTTTGGTATCATAGGGGTAGGTGATGCATATGATTTTTGACTCCGAAGAATCTAAAATGCACTTGGTTTTGTTATTTGTGTCGGAAGCTTGCTTGATATTGGTGGCTGACGAAATAATTAAAGAGCTTTATGAACTTTTCATCTTCATACAGCTGCTCAAAGTTTTACACCGGTACCTATCAAAATTATTTTAATAGTGAGTCACTGCATTTACTTCTTGATCTTTAGGCTCTCTTATGAGATTATATGGTTTATTTTCTCAATTTATCTCATTACTGTAGTTTGGAAACATGCGTAACCTCATTATAGAACAGAAGAACAAGCAGAAAATGATCTTGTAAGTTTGGCCATGGGTATTCAAGGGTTACCCAAAAATCTTAATCTATGTTTGGTAAGTTTAAGAAATTTGTAATAAAAGAACATATTTTGCAGCTACGTAGAGACTCTAGGTCATTTCCTCAAGGCGAACATTGCGTCTGGAATTTACGCGATGGGAGATGCTTTTAGAAACGGAGGCTTGATCCTAGCTCCATTCCTGACTGCGGTTTTAGGCGGTATTTGTGTCTTCAACCAACATATATTGGTAAGAATTTTAAATTTAATTTAAATTGAACACGCTTACTTTACTCTTTAGGGCTAAATTGAATTTATATTTTTCAAAACATGTTGTATACTGCTTTTAAGTATATGAGTAAGGATCATAAGCTACAATATTACAGAACAATACTTCATGATTAAGAAAATATAATTTACTTTGGAATAAATTTAGGAAGATGTAGTGGATGCATATAGTAAAAAAACTTTCCTTTGAGTTTAGTTAGTCAGTCCCTTGTACTGTAATGGCTCTCCTCTTTCTTTACTGGATACTTTCCTTGCTCAGGCATTTGTGTCTCATATGTATGGGTTAATGCAAGGTAAAAGAAACTACCAACCTCTAAAAAAATAATAAATAAAAGAGATCCAAACAGTAAGCGCACAAATGTTTACAACACAATTAATTTGCTTTTGTTACCTCTTCAGATGGAAGTAGTAGAATAGAAGTTTCTTTGACAGTTCTCTACTATTTCCTTCTGAATTGTATTCAGGAGGGGTGGAATATAAGCTAAGGATTGTCTGACAATGTATGTTGAGCCACTATTTGTAAAACCACGGAGAAGTAAGATACAGAGGAAACATGCTTATTGAACAACCATGTGATATTGCTCTGGGAATATATGCTAAACGATCAAAGAAGAGCCCGAACGGCTATTTTGTTTACAACAGCAGTTGTAGCACACACACAGGCCCCCCCTAAAGATTGTGAGTGCTGTAGTATGTAATGGTAAGGTGAAGAGGAGAGCGGAAGAGGACGACCAATAGAACTTGCACTAGACACAAGCGACTGGTAGACACGGCTTGAGTGTACCGTTGAATGTTTCCTCTGTATCTTGCTTCTCTGTGGTCAAACAAATGTTTTGCAAATATTTTGTGTGCATCTACTACCTAATATTCCTTTCTTAGAAAGTTTGTTGCACATTTATTCCTCCTTTATTAGTGTATCGTACAGAAAAGAGCTTGAGGTCAAGACCTAAAAATAAGTTCAGTTCGTTTTAAAAAGGTTAATTTACCAAATGTCTTTTAAAGAAGTTATTGGCACGGTCAATGACAGTTCATTGACTGTGCTCTTTTTTTAATTACTACAAGCAAAATAACATGTCACAAGGCATGCCACTTTAGCGTGTCCTTTAAGCGGCGTTTTCCTAGCGACGCGATTAAGCCTGTAACGCTGCGTGCTTCGTGCTCCGCGGTTGCCGGAACCACCGATCCCTTTTAAACGAATGAGACTGTTTTCCTAGCGGCGCGGTGCGCGACTAACTGCCAACTGCGCAGTGCGCAGCGTGATTGGGACCACTGCCTCGAGAGCAGTCAGTTGCGAACCACGCTGCCGAACTGGGCCATTGTTTACATTGGAAATATGGAGAAAACGATAAGTTGTAGTGATGTTACCAAGTTCACTGTTGATGATGACAGTTTATTAATTGACTGTGTGATCATTTGGTGTGACCATTCGAAATCGATAAACTTTTTCCAATTTCATGTATATTTAAAGTCTTGAAAACAGTATAAGTGTAAATATATTTTTAAAGTGTTGTACCTAGGACGTTTCTTTAATTTAATACATTAAATACTTAAACTAAACATCATGTCAAAAAATTTCAATTTAACGTAGGCCCTAATTTAATATTTTTTTTATTTTAATTTAATTTTTTTTAGTTAACATGTTACACTATGTAAACGGCACAATCCACGTGTGTGGCCTTGGGGCGGGCTAACTTTACTCTAGCATATCCATGCCCTAAATTGGGTTTCAAACGGTGTCAATAGTTAGTTACAATAGTTCCCAATAATTCCGTCTAACGAACGAACTAACTAACAAATGCAAATTTTAACGGAACTATGAAGAACTAACACGGAACTAACAAATGGAATTAATAATTGTGGGTAGGTTTTTTTGGATAGGCCAACTTCACATACCCCAATGTATGAGTCACCTCATTTATTTATCATTTATTTATGTATGAGACTCTTCTTTCTCCGATCCATATAGCAGAACGCTACTGTAGAAACCGCGAATCTGCTTGTTGAGTGAAAATTTAAAAACGTACGTTTTCAGGAAAAGCACTTTGCAAATTTTTTCCCCTTTTTTCAAAACTTTTATTATTATTTTTATTTTATTAACATTTTAAGTTTCATAAAATGTCCATGGTAACGCAATATCTTTGGTAGTTTTCTTTTTAAAGAGCATCTTTAGTAGAAAAACACAAAATCCTGTCACGACCATAACGGACGTTTAAATGAATATTAAAAATAGTTAATATTATTTTTATAACTATGTTTTGCTATAAACTAATTTACTTTTATGACCATTATACAATAAAAAGGTCACTGAGCTTTTGGTATATTTGGTCTCTCTAGAAAAAAATTTAAAAAACTCATAAAATAGAAAAAAGCCAATAAAATCTTTTTAAGTTTGTATAACTCCGAAAAAACTTACCTGAGACCCGAAAAATCGTTATGTTTGTATAGAGGTGTGCTTCTTTTGTGTATAAAAACATTGAAATATGACGATATTTTAATTTTTGAAATTTTTATGATAGAAATCATAAACGTGATGGTCAGGGACAAACGGTACGGTCGTGAATTGTCTGGAATAATCTAAGTCTTTCCAAACAATCCTTCAATTATACTGTTAGTTATAATAAAACTATGTGTTTCAATTGAACTAAACTGTTCAATTTACAATTATATTAAAGTTATTGTCACGACCAAACTAACTATAATCCATAAGGCTGGATTGGTCGTGAAAAAAACCGCGATGGTCGTGAAACTTTGGTCGTGAAATTACGTGTTATTTGGCTCTGTTCTGGCGGTAGCCCTGCACCTCATGTTCGAGGATACAAAGTGGACTTCTAGGTTGATCTAGCAATTGAAATATCTTATAAACAAAAATTAACACCATGTCTACTTCATCGAATGACTACGGACGGTCATGGACACACCAAAATTACAAAAAACACAATCTTTCCTTTATTAATCTTGTAATTCCTCCTTTCAACTCAAAACGACCGGCACTACAATCCTGACGTACACCCCGAACTAGTCTCTAAAACCAACTGACTCCATCGACGCCAGGCTTGCCACTGTCGTGCTCCAAAGTTGAAAAATTTTCCCAAATGGTCGTGACGCCAAATCGAGGGACAGACTTATTTTGTCATGGTAGTCAGTCTGCAATGACAATAAAATTATAATATACTCCTTTTTTGTAAGTTTAATAACCATTGATAACATAAAAATATGACTTTATATATTTCGGCATGAATAATTAATCTAAAAACAGCGTGAAAGTTGGAAAATGTACCCTAGGGACACGTCATGGTCGTGAATTTCGAGACTTTAAAAATACGAAAAAAATACCTAGAACCTATTTAAAACTAAATAAATGTGTGTAACATGTTGCCCCAGTCCCAAAAAATATTAAAACACATAATTGAGCGGAGCGAGCGAAGCGAGCGTAGCTCTTTTGGATCAACTTCAATGCAACAAATAGAGAAACATCACTCAATAACGGCTGAACGCATTTCAGCCAAACTTAACAAAATTACTTAGACTAATAGTGAGATGGTTTTTAAACAAACAAATTTCAATTAGATAATGCCAATGCAATTTAAAACGAACTTAAAATTTCCAATTTTTAACATTAGGCTTATGGGACTAAAGTAGCCATATGACAGTTTTTTGTTTACAAGAACAATGTAAACAAGAAAATAATAAGGTATTTCTAAACTTTCTAGACTTTTCTTTTAAACGTTTTTAATCCATTCCTATGATTTTAATAAACAAGAAAATGCCGTTAAAACATTTTTTAAGGGCGCGGAATTCACTGAAAATTAAGAAAATATATGGAACTACTTTCTCAATGCGCGGAGCATAAACAAGGAGCGGAGGGATACGAACCGGTGACTACTTTCTTGCGAACCTATTTGTGTTGCCAGCTGATTAGAAACAGCCAATGTTAGAAATCAGGATTTAATAAGCGATATATCGAACCGCATCGAAATCGATATTTAATCCGATAATACATCACAGGTTGTATTATGTTGAATTACATCGACGGTGCAGTAAGTTATTACACTTATTAATAAAACGCAGATTGAACACTGATCTAATTTAGGCATGTGGGGAATGTAGGTCGGGGTTTATGAGTATTCGTGACTAATAAACGAAATAATATGTTTATGACGTATAATTATTATTACAGCGGGGATAAATAAAAATATACTTTAAACGCCCAATAAAAACGAAGAATACGCTAAAAATAGTAAAGAAATTTCTGTATTAGGCTAATTAATTTGAGTTGTTTAGATAAGGCCTACGTTGTGACAAAATAAGATGACGTAATAGGAGACCAAATCTACATTGTCTCTGGCATGTCTTCCCTTCTATTATTATTATGTTTTCACATAAATCAGCTGATGTGATGTTTACTTTTCACTTTTGTTATTATTATGCCTACATTTCAGCCATGTTTAATTGTTCAATAGTATTTTTAGCAGTTCGTTAGTTTTTTGTTTTACACAAAAATACAATTGATAATTTAGTCCATTTTAGTCATTTAGAAGTGTTTCAATTAGTTTGAGTATAAAGTATTTTACGGTTGTGTTTTAAAGTTAAAACAGGCATACCTTTTTCGTGTTATGTTTTATTAAGGCCAATATTAAAATGCCGGCCCAAAAACGATCTAATATTGGAAGAAGGTCAAGAAAAACACAACAAGCCCTAAATAAACGTAGGAGTGAAACAAATTCTGACGATGTGTTGAGAAGACGGTTTGTTGAACAAATGAAATCCTTCTCTTATGTAACATGTACAAAATGTAAAAAGGCAGAACTCATAAATAAGAACAAGGAAAACTATCGTTGCTATTCTTGCAAAGCTGGTAAGTCGTTAAAATTTACATCGGCTAACCATATGGATCCAGGCTTAGTTCCACCTGAATTGCAAAATCTGACTAAGATTGAACAGATGTTAATTGCTAGGGTACAGCCAGTACTGTGTGTTTACCAGCTAAAATTAGCAGGTCAACCCGGAAATTTCCGATACAAAGGAAACATAATCAATGTTGAGCAAGATATAAGTGAAGTGGCTCGTGTTCTCCCAAAATCACCAACGAATCTTGATATCGTTATCATACGAAAGAAGTCAGTAACTGGATATGTGGATTTTCGTGTTAGGCGTCAAAAAGTACTAGATGCTCTTCACTTCTTGAAAGACAACAATCCCTTTTATAGTGACATAGAAATAGACAGTGACGTTATAGCCAGTTTACCTGAGGACGACTTTGTTACAGAACAGCTACCAAGTTTAAATGACAATAGTGCCAGTGAAATCATTGATGAAAATGACCATGTAACCGAAACTTGCGTTCCAATTTTACCAGAACAACGGGACTCTGAGTTAGTGTCAGCCGTTCTGAATTGGCCATCCGCTAACCAAAATCCAATCAACGAATTTACATCTGAATCATATATCGTCCATGCATTTCCACACTTATTCCCCACAGGTGAAGGAACATTTCTGGACAATCGCCGCAATCCAGCAGATCGCCCAACATTTAAACAGTGGTTGTACTTTCTCATGCATTATCATGATAAACGTTTTGCTCAAGACACACGGTTTAGGTTTTTTGTCCTTAATCGAGACCAGCGGCATGACGCCATTAATTCTAGCAAAATATTTGCAAAAAAACACGATTTTAATGGTTCTGTTGAGCAACTTATTCAAGAAATTAAGCATCGCCCAAATTTACTAAATAAGCTGTTGTCATTTGGAGCAAAAATCCGTGGATCATCATCATATTGGTTTAAAAGGAGACTTGAATTACAGTGTATGGTCGAACAGTTGGGTGTCCCAACAATTTTCTTAACATTGAGTTCTGCAGACTTTTGGTTTCCCGACCTTTCAAACATACTTGACATTGATGTCAAACAATTCCGAAACGATCGTCAGCTCTCAAAATTCATGCAAAAATTGCTAATTGAAAACCCCATGATAGCTGATGAATTTTTTTCTAAACGTGTAGAGTGTTACATGGGCATCCTAAAAGAAAAGCTAAAAATTAAAGACTTTTGGTATCGTTTTGAATGGCAGCATAGAGGAGCTCCCCATATTCATATGGTTGCTTGGTTAGAAGGAGCGCCAGATGTATCATCATTTGATAATGCTGGGTCAGATGATATTAAAAGGTACATAGAGTATTATGACAGCATTGTTACAGCTGTTAATCCAAATGTCAATGCGATTCCTGCTGAAAAACACCCTTCACGTGAGTGGTGTACTGATATAGATTTTAATGATAGTGAAAAAACTGCACAGCTTCTCAATCGCGTTCAAAGACATACTAGGCACTCACAGTATTGCTTACGCAAAGAAGGTAACCAGGAGACATGTAGGTTCAAGTTTCCAAAAAAAATTGTGGAGACATCTACTCTCGAGAAAAATGAAAAGGGCATATGGACCTTCACTCCAAAAAGAAATGATGAATTACTTGACGAACATAATCGTTTTGTCAGCCATTCTTGGAGAGCTAATACAGACTGCAAGGTTGTAACATCCAAACAAATAATAATCAATTATCTGTCAAAATATGCTGCAAAAGGTGAACCGCATTCAAACACATATAAAGAAATGATCACTGAAATAGCATCAAGTTTATCAAAAACTGCTCCCGCTCGAACCGTTTTTACAAAACTACTAAATAAAATCGTTGGAAACCGTGACTATAGTGCATGCGAAGTTCACCATCTACTAAATGGTGATCCTTTGTACCACTGCAGTAGGCAGTTCGTAAAACTGTTTATAGGGAATGAAGAGTATGTTCAATTGACGACGACATCCGCAAACCGAAACACTAAATCGATTTTGGAAACATACAAAAACCGTCCAGTGCAATATGAAAATATGACTCTATTTGAGTTTGTAAGTAGTTTCAAAACAGTGGGATCTAGGTTAGTAGCATCTCATAAAAAAAATGTAGTACAAGTTGTCCCTTATGTTTCATTGGGTATGAATGAATCCACGGATGAAATATATTTCAGGCAAAAAGTGTTGCTTCATTCAAATTTTCGTATAGAACAACATGTGAAAACTCATCGGAGCTGGAAAGAGACATATGAAAATAGTAGGCCTACATTAAATGTTTGGGACTTACAAGGAACTCCAGACGAAGAAAACAATGAATATGAATATGAAGGCGATATTGACCAACATGACTGGATGGAGATTTCTGCAGCTCATCCTGAAGTGCCTATAACTGAAACAGAAATTGGTTTGCGTGCACTCGACAGAGAACACAATTGGTACCATGCATATGACCAGTTTCCATACATTGAAGAGGCAAAAGACTTCATAAAGCAATCAAAAAATGCTGAGGAGATTAACGCAGTAAATAATGGCAACGAAGAAATTGTGTTTAACCTTGATCAGCAAAATGTCCTCGATCATTTTAATCGTCAGTTGAATAATGAAACTAGTCAAAAGCGTACAATTGTATGTGGATCTGCCGGAGTCGGAAAAAGTTGTGTGATTCGGGAAATGATTCGGATGTGTAAAGTACGGCATGGTGAAGAAAGTATACTCTTATTAGCTCCTACAGGCATTGCAGCTAACAATATTGAGGGAGAGACAATTCATTCAGCCTTGCGTTTTAATTTGAATCGATTTGGTGAAGTCAGAGAATTATCTGGAGAGTCTAGAAAATCTTTTCAAGAAATGATGTTAAGTATAAAAGCCGTAATATGCGATGAGTTTAGCATGATAGGCCAAAGAATGCTCGCAACAATGGACAAAAGGCTTCGTCAAGGTAATCCAGAATTATCTAACGAGCCATTTGGTGGTTATATCGTATATTTGTTTGGCGATCCTAACCAATTACAGCCAGTTAAAGACCGAGCATTATACATGGAAGCTGGTGTGAGCGAACTAGCAATTCATGGCAAAGCAATGTTTATGACTTTTGACAAGGTATTTGAACTAAAAACAATCATGAGACAGATTGGAGAAGATCAGAATGCTTTCAAAAATGTGCTCAACAATATAGCTAATGGTGTGATAACCATGGATGATTATAATTTCCTCGAAACACGATTCACCTGGACAAATCGAGAACAACTACACTGTTGTGAAAATGTATTAAGAATTATAAGCACAAATTCTGAAATTGAAACATACAACCTGGAAAGATTGAAGAATACTGGAAACCCAGTAACGATTATAAACGCTATAAACAGCAATAACACTTCAAGCAGAGCTGATACTGACGACTGCCAAGGACTCCCAAATATACTCAAGCTATGTGTTGGTTGCAGGGTTATTTTAAAAAAGAACTTGTGGACGTCAAAAGGACTTTGTAATGGAAGTTTGGGGACAGTACATGAAATAATTTACAAGACTTCAGATTTTGCAAACCACTTAGAAGATATGCCTTTATGTGTTTTGGTTCATTTTGACAATTACAAAGGTCCCACAATCTTTAATGGTGTAGTTCCCATTACCCCTGTAACAGTGTCTTTTAAACACAATGGAGTGTCATGTGTCAGAAAACAAATGCCATTACAACTAGCATTTGCTATCAGCGTCCACCGGAGTCAAGGGATAACAGTGGACAAATGTGTTGTTGACATTGGCCAAAAAGAGTTTGCTCTTGGATTGACGTATGTAGCATTATCTAGAGTTCGACAACTGGATGGACTTTTATTACACTCATTTCCTCCATCAAGACTACTTGGCATAAACAGCCATAAGTTATTTCCTGCAAAGAAAGCTGAGTTCAATCGATTGGAAGGGTTAAAATGAAGACAAATTTAATGTTTATGTCGCACATTTGACTTTTAAATTTCAAATTTTCCCTCATGTTTTTATACTTAAATGTTCGTTTTTTTATACTTATTGTTTTTTATACTTCAATACTTTTTACCGATTGCAAGGGTCATAATGAAGTCCACGGTTTTTTTTGTACAGTTGAGTTTAAATGTAAAATTTCCCTCCTCTTTTTTTACTTTAACTTTTAACTCTACTTTAACTTTTAACTTTAACTTTTTTTACTCGCGTTTTCCATATTATTATCATAGTCCCAACTACTGTAATTTAATCTACTTTTGCAAGAGGTAGCCTATCTGAATCACATCAAGATGTAGTCAAGAGGTAAATTATTAAAATTTCAATCAATAAAACAAGCATTAGTACATATATTGTTTTTTTTTATTTAGTTAGTTACCCAAATATTAAATCAAGTTTTCTCCGCTCAACTGGCTTTCACCGCTCTGAAAGCAATCCTAGTAATAAACTACAAATCCAGTATCTACGAAGTAAAAGGCCAGGGACATGTAAACGTACGTTTTTAAATTTTCACTCTGTTACGCAACGCATTGCCGGATGTCTAGGAAAACACTTTTGCGCAGCGTAAAATTGTAATCACGCTGTTCCTGGCCACGCTGCGTTCTTTAGATTAATCGCGTAGCACGCAGCGCGGTTACTGAAGTTGGAGGAAAACGCACCTTAACAAGGAAATACTTTTTTTGTACAACAAACCCAAAAGGTGTTGCCAAATCTAATAATACCAGCTGATTTGAAAATATTGCTTAGTATATTTTAATTTGTGTTGTCAATGGGCGATGTGGCAACGTCGCACTAGCCTTGTCTTGTGATTAGCTGCCACCAACTGCAAACTTACGTGGTCCCGACTTTAGTTGATTATTAGGTGATTTTGTTTATCTAATTTGTTCATTATCAGGTGAACTGTGCCACTGCAGTGAGGGAGAAGTACAAATTGAACTACTACCCAGGTTATGACGCCACAGTGGAGCTCTGTTTTAGTTCTGGACCTCCGATATTCCAGAAGTTCGCCTCCCGGGGAAAGTAAGTAAGAAACACTTTGTATCAAAACCACTACAAGGAGAAATCAGTGAGATCACTGACAAATTGTTTTTTGAGAGTTTGAAGAACAATAACTAAATATATCTAGTTAAGTTCTGGCACATCTTAATCAGTACACGTATTCTGACACTTTGGTAATTTGACGCTGCACTGAATGAGTCTTCAGCCAATGTATATACTGTTCTTAAATTAGATGTGTGTTTTTCATTAAAAACGTTAACACGCAACATTTTTAGAATCCCTAATTGTAAAATAGTTCTTAATAAAGTCATCATAAGTTGACTTTTCTTAGTTTATAGGTTAACTTTTATAATATTTTTGGTTAATCAATGGTTCTTTGAGAATTAACTCAACTCCCTTCAGCCATAAAAATGAGTGTTGCACCAATAAAAGTCATCTCTATGGTAAAAAGTGATAACGCAAACATTTAACAAAGTACAACAAAGTATATTTTGTTTTATTTTTAAGTATTAAAACATTTAGTATATTAAGTAAAAAGTATGGACCTTAGTATGGACTGAACAGAAGAGCCAAATTTCAATTTTGAAGACTTAACCGTACTGATCTCTAACAGTAGTTTTCACTCATGGAAATCCCTTATTTTGTGCACCCTCTGGCAGATGTCTTTTGGCAGAATTTTCTCTTCTCCAGTCATGGGCTAAATATGTGGTTTACTTACTTACTTACTTCCATGGCCACTTTACCCAAGCTGGCACTTGGCCTTGCCAACACGTTGCCAATTCTCTCGGTCCTCCAAATCTTTTTCTACTAGTCTCATTTTTTCCATATCTTTCCGGACTTGATCCCATCACCTGGCCTTCCTACTGGTCTTCTTCCCCTCAGATCTTCCTTTAGCTCATCTTCAACAATCTCTCTTCATTTCTCCTCAAGATATGGCCAATCCACCTTAGCCTTCTGCTTTTGGTCTCTCCTACAATATCGGGGTCTTGGAATGATTGATTCTCTTAACTCTCGGTTGTGGCGGTTTCTCCATACTCCATCTTCATACTGGACCATATATAGGGCTCTTAGAACTTTATTCTCAAAGGTTGTAATCTTCTTTTCCATGTTCTTGTCCAGGATCAAATTTTTCCCTCCATATAAAACTACTGGAATAATTAATTATTCTCTTGTATCTACATTATTCTAATTTGGGTTTCCTTTGATTAATCAAATAAATGATAATATAATAAATATAAATAAATATGAATAAATGATTCAATTATTTTTCCACATGCACACTGACTTTTATTTGCTGCATTTATCCTATTCTGAATTGCTATGTCTTATCTATATTTATATGTCAGACAGTACAACGCCTAGATATCTGAATTATTGACTCCTAGAAATTGGGGTTGTTAATTTTCAGAAAATTGACATTAAATTTGTGGTTATTGAAACATTTATAAAATATAAAAAAACATTAATCCAATGTTTTAATTGTTTCCCTCAATGTTTTTTAGATCAGCTGTAAATTTCTTCCTCATTGTTGCACAGCTGGGCTTCTGCTGTGTTTACATGGTTTTTGTCACCAGCACAACCCATCAGGTAAATAATAACAATATAAAATTTTTTCCTAGTTTTTAATGTAGGCAAATGAATATTTTTTTAACGATAGGATAGAAAGTAGCGTTTTGCAGGCTGAACTAAATACGAGTAAATAAATTGGTTGTTACAGTAGTTGTTCATCTTTGACTATTAAAACAATTAACTAGACTTCCCCATGTCTAGTAAAACTGTTGTTCCCAGTTTTTCAATCAAAATCGTTGTTGTTGATGTGAATCACCAACAAATTGTGGTGATCTAAATTACTGATTTCTGTCAAATACACAAACTGTTTCACCAAATCAAACAGAACAGCCTTCTCAAAAAATAATTTTAAATTTTGAATACCGGTATCCTAATCCTCGTTTCTCATGAACACTAAAACATTACTTGTATCCTTGCTAAGAACAACAAACAAATTTGAGACAAACATGTGTCTCAAATGTATTTAAAATAAATTGAAATTATATTTAAAACCATGAAATAGTATTCAAAACCATGAAATACAAAACTAACATGCTTTACTTTTTCCCATTCCAGATCTTACACAACTTCGGCATCGAGTTAGAGATCCACCTGAACATGTTGGTCACACTGGCTCTGCTCCTTGGCTTCATCATTATACGCAACCTCAAGTACCTCGCACCAGTATCATTGTTTGCCACAGCCACAATGTTCCTTGGTGTCGGCCTGACCATCTACATCAGCAGTCAGGATCTTCCCCCGATCAGTTCTAGGTACGCTCTGCCGTCCTGGGTGCAGCTGCCGCTGTTCTTCGGGACTATCATCTACGCCTACGAGGGCATCAGCCTGGTAAGTTACTTGTAGAGAGTACGTAACCACTAGTATGATCGGTAGCTAAATGTTTTGCCATACTTTGTTTTAAAATTCAAACATTCAAGGTCAAAATTATCAATGCTTAAAAACAGCGACACACTCTTGAGTGTGTATTTTAAGCTAAATATGAGAGCATGGTGAGTGTGGGATGGATTGAGATGATCCTTGAAGCTTTATTACTGACTAAGATCAGCTGTTTCATTGGTTGGGATCGCTAAAAGCTCAAAGATTGACAAATGAAACCCTTTGAATATATTTTGGAAGGCCTTTTATTGATTTTGAATGGATATATTTGCGGCAATAGTCTTTTCTCAATTTTCCATTTAAATAAGTAGTTTAAGATTGAAGGATGATCCATCCTATTCTAATAACACTAATGCCCCATCCGTTTATCTACATAATGAAGATTGTGGGCTTTTAGACTAAAATTTAGATGGGCGAAAGCCTCTACATAACACCTATGTTCTTAAAAAAACTTATTACATAAAAGCTAATATAAAAAAATGTTGATGATGGAGATTTAGATTAAAACAAAACAAGAAGCGATTCTTCAGCAGCGGACATGGAGAAATGTTAGATCAAGAAATTTCACTAGAAACTAATGGACTAAGCAGTCAGTGTTTTAATCACCGAAACAAATTAAAAACCACCAACCATCATGGATTAGTCTCCTGGTACTAGTCTTTTACTATTTCAGTTTAGGATATGGCTTTATTTGCTCCAAAAAAGACTTTTGGAGGACAACTTTGGGAGGATCAACTGTTGAATATCTCCCAATTGAGCTGGGTTAATGATTGTAGTGCCTGCCGAACAATCAAAAGGCCACTGGTTTGATTATGAGAACAGTCAGACATAATAAATCAATAGTGTTTAACAAAAATGTAAAATCTTGTCACGAATATGTATAAAAATTAGTATTTGTTAGGTGTTACTTCTACAAACTGAAATGGAGAACCCTGAGAAGTTTGATAGTCCTCTGGGGGTTCTAAATGTTGGCAACATCATCGTAACTGTGCTGCAAATCATCGTCGGCTTCATCGGATACCTCAAGTATGGAGAAGATGTAAAGGGAAGCCTTATACCCTCAATCTGCCTTTTGACAGTGAGTAAGTACTATCCACTGACGAATCTCAGTGTTGTTTTACCCGTGATTTTTCTAATTATTGAAAGTTCAAGAAGATTAACATTCTATGAATTATTAACGGTAACAGTCCTTCAATTATGTAAGGACAAGATGAAAAATTGTTTGTGGTCTAAAACTGACAAAGTTACATACGGTGATGAATTTCCAATAAAGAACATAACCAAACTAAGCCTGAAGATATTGAAATCATTTGAAGTGTTTAAGGAAAAGTCCCTGAGAAACTTTTCTTACTGTTTTACATTAAAAGCTATTCTTTTGCTTGTATGGTATGGATTGTATATATAAAATCGCATGCAGATGTTATGCTCATGCACCCAAATCCAAGTGTTTTAAATATTGTGCCTTTATTTAGTGAAAAGTAATGTTAGTTGGGTATTCCGGGTTTTCCAAAATTCAAAGTACCTGCGTTGTGGACATGAACAATTACCCATACATTGTATTGCTGGTCTTTTTAAGATCCTCAAAGAAAGTGTTCATTTAGGTGAATAGGAATAGTCTACATTTACTCACAGTGCAATGAAAATACAACCCATGTTTCATAATTTTTTTCATTTTAACTAGTAAAATGTTTTCCCCTCATGATTAAAACTACACAAGTTTTTTTTTAATATATAATTTTACTACATTTTGAACTTTTTTAAACAACAAACATTTCCGCAGTCTATCACAGTTTGTCAAGATCGCCACAGCCATCGGGATCTTGTTGACGTATCCGATCATGTTCTACGTTCCCGTAGCCCTGATCTGGCCGGCTGTGGTCAAACGATGGGGACCTTTCGACAAATCTGCTAAATATGAAATCATCCTCAGGCTGGTGCTTTGCTTTCTTACATGTGAGTATACAGCGTAGTTGAATGAATAGTGGCACAACCATGTAGGCCTACTCGTAAAAGTTGATTCAAAATATCTTTTTTTATGATCTGTTTGATGAAGAGCTGTGATTGCTATAGTATTGATCACAGTTTTGATATTAGGTCTTTAAAATAGAATTTTGAAGTCCTTATTGACTCTCAGTAAAAATATAGTTCATAGGTTAAACACTCACTTTTCATAATTGTCTTCAGGAAAGAGTTCTGAGTTTATAGTTCAAAGCTGTTCACTATCAGTAGTGATTCTAGGACCTTATCATGGTTGGGGGGGGGGGGGGCTACCAGGGGGGTTTTCACACCCCCCAAGAAAGAATGGGTCCTGGGGGTCCCATCAGAAGGTTTGGAATTTTAAAACCATTTTCAACATCTAGAACTGTGTCCAAAAAAGGACAATATGTTTAAATTTATCATTTATTTCACTAACTTTACCACTGTTTCTCCCAGTCATACTGTCGGAGATCATCCCAGACCTGGGTTTGTTCATCTCGCTGGTTGGCGCAGTCAGCAGCACGGCGCTAGCGCTGGTGTTCCCTCCTCTCTGTGATATAAGCATGCGCCAGCTAGACGGAGATTTTGGCTTCCTCGGCTGGCGTAAAATGGTGGATTATCTCACACTCATCATCGCCTTCTTTGGCTTCTGCACCGGAAGTTATTTCAGTTTAGTCCATATTGTACAAGCTTTTGGTTCATCGACAGAAGAGAGTTAGTGTTAAAGGGTATTTGTCACAAAAGATTGTTAAAAAGTGAGAATTCTTTACTCACAGGAAGCTCTGTTAACATTGGACTCATGGGTGTCCATATATTTCCCATAAAGCTAGCTGGGGTGTCTGATGGGGTTTGTTTAAAGTAACCTCTTACAACAACAACAAGGGTCCAGAGAATTTTTAATTGCGGTGCAAAATTATTATTTTACACATTTTGATATATAGTTCAGCCGCTTAGAAAACGACCTGCGCGCTAATGCTAAACCAATGCTGGAGGAGGTCGCTTTCTAAGCGGCCGAACTATAGTACCTAAATTTGCTTAGTCAATTTTAAGATTTTTTCATCGATTTTTTTTTATTTTAAAACTTACTTCTGTGGCCACTCCTCCAAGCAATGCATCCATTTATAACTTATAACCATTTGTAACTCTTGCCTCTTTCTTCCTGCCAGTCTCCTTATTTCCTTCTCAACTTGATCCCATCACTTGTGGTGAATGCAAACATGGTCTCTGGGGGGGGGGTTATCTTATTAAACTAAAACTTAATTGATAAAAAAAGATAAAAAATAGAAATGACAGTCGTAATCTTCAATTTAATAAGGGAGCTATTTTAAATAGTCACTAGATCTTGTTGAAGAGATCCTATATATCAAAAATCCTATGTATTAATGGGCAAGAATGATTCTTGAAAACCTTTTTCCTCAGCTCGTAGGTATCACAGGGGAAATCTACTCATGCTGCTAGAAAGATATTTTTCTTTAGATGTGCAGAATCCCTTTATAAATTAAAATAGGCTAAAAAATAAGAACAGAAAATTAATTTAAAATTAAAAAAAAACTTACATGGGCCTTATGGGTTGCTTATGCTGATGACGAAATATACACAGAAAATGAAAACAAATTGAAGAAATTCCCATCACATGTTATAATTTACAGCGTAGGGGAAAAAAGAGAAGTCTGTACATCATATTTTTGGTTGAGTTTTCGACCACTGGATGACCTCTAGTTTACTAATTAGAGGCACAATAAGTTATAGATAAGCTATACATAGGTACTTCTTTGTAAAAATATGTGTTTACTTTGTATTATTATATTTTGTATTTGTAGGTTTATTTGTTTTTTATAAAAAGATGCAATGCACCATTTGTTTACTGTAAATGTACTTATACATGTAAGTTTGTTTTGAAAATGTAATAAACTTATATGTTTCATTTAAAACCAAACTATGGTTTTTGTTACCTCTCATACAATATTACCACTATTAGTAGGCCTATGTAAGCCAGTCATGACGTGAAGGAATAGAATGTTTTTGTTTTATAAGTAAATGGGCTATTTTATACAATTTTAACATCAGTATGAAACCATAGCCTCATTCTAATACAAGGCCGCAGCGAGACGAAAGTGACAAAGCCCAAATAGGAAGCTATGGTAAAAAGATACATTAGTAAAAGATGTGAATAAAAATTATAATATGAAGATTAAACTGCTTCTACAAGCTGACCACAGAAAAAAATTTAAGTGCCAGAAAAGCTCCTTCAGTACAAGTCATAAGCAATTCTATGTATATTGATGACACAAAAACACACACACATCACACACATAACATTACAAACCAATGTAAATTGATTAATGGAAAGGGAAGTAAATTAAGAGCAAGGGAAAACAGCTGATAATTAAAAGGAAAAGCTCCAGAAAAGACCATATGTTTTATATCAGCTGTTTTCAAAACTGGTTACATTCTATTTTGGAATAATCAAAATTTTTACTATGTATTCCAATTCCCTCTGCCTATTTTATACAGACTTTAAAATTAACTAAATACAACCGTAGAAGAAACCATTTTACACATTGATTTCTTTTACACTGAAATCATAAGCCCCACCAATAGTCCAGGACCTGACTAGGGTTCTGTGTGCATGTCGTGTATAGAGAATTTAGACACATACATCATCATTGAATGGTTAAACTGTCTATATATGACTCGAACACAGCCATCGATGTCGGATTTATATGCGTTTTGCGCCGAATTAGGTTGTTTTGTACGATTTTTCTAGTTTCTTGACGTGATCCTTTGAGTAAAGCATATCGAATTTGGTATTTTTGTAAAGCCCTTTTAACGTGCTACAACTTTGTCTTTAAGTTATTTCTGATATATTGTATCAATAAAACGTTATCGACAAAAATAACACAAAAATGTTTAAAAATATAGGTTTTTGCAAAACTACAAAAAATGTACTAAACATACAACAAAAGTGTAAATGTAAGAAAGATAGCATGTAAACTTATCTTCCAAACAAAAAAATGTTAATTCCGATCCGATACATGGTATGTAAAATATAGTTATTTTTAATATAGCCCTTTCCGCCATTTTAATGACGTCATAACCGGAAACTGCAGTGGGTGCAGACGTGACACCCGAGTTGAAAACACTTATTTAGACACATACATCAACATTGAATGGTAAAACTGTCTTTATAAGACTTGCGAACTGCCCTAGATGCCGGACTAATAGGCGTTTTTGCGCTAAAATTGGTGTTTTTATGAGATTTATCTAGTTTCTTGACGTAATCTTTTTAGTAAAACATATCGAATTTGGTATTTTTGTAAAGATTTTTAAACGTTCTACAACTTTTTTCATTGGTGGTTTTTGATATATTGTATCAATAAAACGTTACAAACAAAAATAACACAAAAATATTTAAAAATACAGGTTTTTGCAAAATCACGAAGAATGTACTAAACATACAACAAATGTGTAAATTTAAAACAGGTAGCATTTAAAATTATCTTTCAAACAAAAAAAAGTTCATTCCGATCCGACAAATAGTTTGCGAAATATACGATTTAAAAAAATCCATGGCTGCCATTTTGATGACGTCATAACTCGAAAACGTACCAGGTGCGAACTTGACACCCGAGTGGAAAACACTTCCTAAGACACCTATATTGAAATGCAAAAGCAAAATTCTCTATAGGCCTACACGACATGCACACAGAACCCTAGTCAGGTCCTGGACTACAAGATTACTAAATTGAAGGTGGGTGATTTATAAAAAACAACAGTTGTTTGACCTCTATTAATGAGTCTTAACACCATATGTGACCTCTAAAAGGGTGTGGAGATAAAATGAGATGTAACATGTTCAAAAAGGCCGTCACAAACTCATATCTCCCATCTGGTTGTAATCTATCAAATGCTCGACACCAACAAACCATCTCTTGTGCTTACTAGGGTAAGGTTTTCACTTTCTCTAGCCTTTAAACTGAGATACGGAGAATACATTGGAAAATTGCATAAGAGCAAAAAATTGTTTTCATCATGATCGGATGATATGTTTAAAACAATGTGGTTTATGGGTTAAAATTATTTTTTTATCAACGTACAAAATATTTTTTTTTTCATTTTGATAATCTTGTTAAAAAAATATTTTAGCAAAAACAGATCAATGATTTTACAAAATAATGACGAGAAATGGTTGAGGAGTAAAAAAATATCTATTGCAAGTCTGGTTGCTAAGAAAACACAATAATTGGATTAATTTAGTTCCCAGTGTAGTATTTGAAACTGAATATTATCATGTTTATGAAGATCACCATACATATTCGGCCAAAAGAATTGCTGGGTGATTTTGAGACAATACCGTAAACCATAATAATTACAATCGAATAACTTTTCAAATACCTATAAAAGATACATATTAATTTCCAAAAAGTTGTGGATGAATTTTAATTTTCCAAAATCAGGTGCAAAATCCAACCCTTTTTACTATTCAATAATCTTTTTTGTATACCTACAAAAAAATAATGTATTACATGTTTTGGATGAAATAGCATACCTAGCACACCTAGCACATTAGCACCATAACCGAAAACAAGTTTTCCAAATTCTCAATGTATCAGATGTTCCCCTCCACTATTTCTAGTCCAGCTGATCATTTGATAGTGGTCCACAACCCACAGTTCCCAGTCTGTGGTAAACTAGACCACACTTCTGTGTAGCCTAGATTTAGTAGAAAGTGAACAGCTGATTCACAGGTATTGTTGTTAATAATATAATTTGCTTAAGTTAGGTTCTTTGTATATTAATTGACAATATGTTCAAACTAATTTAAAAAAATAATAAGTTTCAGTAAATAACTAGGCAAAATGTATTACGTATTTAGTGTTACACCTTTAAGTAACGTTTTAATTTATTTGTTTTCAAAATCCCACAAGTTGTTTATCAATCAAAAGATTATTTTTATCTAATTTATAGAACAAGCCGTTAAAATAAAAGGGTTAACACTATTTTTATAAACAAAAAATGTTTACCAATGGTAATGTAATTTGATGTACAAACAACACTTCAATGTTTTTCAGGTCACACAATAACTGTGAATTAATGAAGGATTAGGATAAGTGTTCTCATCGATAATAAGCTAGGTTTTCTCATGGATTTTTGTGTATGAATTTTTGTCTAGATATAGAAAACAACTTAAATAAATTATGAAATTATAAAGTTTTTCATTAGTTTTTTATTATTTTGGATGAATAGTTTGCAAACAGATAAATAACTAATTTAAAAAACAACTGTAATATCAAAATATTTACTTGGTGATTGTAGATAATTGATAAAACTGGGATGCGCTGAACCACACATCCCCTCAAAAAAGGGACTTTTTGTTGATACTTTATAAGAGTTTGTTATTTTTGTTACAAAACATGTCAAGGCATGCAAAATCCACATGTGGACCATCAAATCATCTCTGGCACGTAGCCAATAAAATAGAATCTTGAGAAGACAATGCATTGCCGTGACTCAAAATAGTTCTGACTTTATTCGCCCACCATACAAACATAAACAAAAGTGCCACACACAATTGTTTGTTTTATGATAAGCTAGAGTTCAGTGCTTTGATTTTTCTCAGATAATGAACTTTTATCTGTGAACTATTAATTTTATTTTCACTTTTATTGTATTCAAAGAGACTGACCGACTGGGATTTAATCGTAAGGTTGGTAAAAGCCATTGTCAATACATGATTCACATGGTGTGCTTCTGTAAAAATTCTTTTTAGTTTTGTTTGGTTAAAAATTAAAGTATACTTGTACAACCATTGGCGGTCACGGGGGGGGGGGGGGGGGGAGGGATGGACCCCCCTAAAGTATTTTTGGACCCTGCTTTTTGACATTACAATCTTTAGGCTTTAAAAAGTTGTAAGGTTTTTTTTAAGCTTTCACTTATACAATTATGTAGGTAGCTTACCTCTTCTCAACCTGCTAATGCATAAAATTTTCTCTATTTACGCTTAGTGAATTTTTGCTGAACCACCTAAAACTTATTTGGTTTTGTCAGGGCTTAAATTAAAATACACATAATTCTGAATACTTATAAAATCATCTAAGCAACAATTATAAGCTACTGTATAATTTTAATGTAGTTATTTTTTTCACAAAAACAAACTAAATTAAGGTAATTTTTTACTACGGTCAATATGGAGAACAAAGCGTGTTCATCAAGTTATAATTATGTTAAAAAAACACTTCACAACAATACTATCTCTAGTAATTTCAAGTAATCCAATCAAGGCCTTCATAATCTTATCGTTAAAAGTGATACTTTAGCATGGTTGAAGGGGTTATTGGTGAACCGGAACAAAGGAAGAGAATTTTAATTGGACAAAAGGAAATCATCATCTGTATTATCTTAAACTGAGTAAAAAAATCATTGAGTGAAAGTGTTTATTTTTTTACAATCAACTGTATTTTATTGAAGCATCATTAGGTAAGTTTAGTATTATTTGTTCGATATAGAACTTTATTGTGTTGAATGTATTGAATCTAAATTCAACTCTACAAAAATCAACCTAAAAATCATTTGAAGTTTGAAAAGCCCACTAAGAAATTTTCAAGCTTCGACAACAAACTTTTTAATATTTCATAAACAATTTTTTGAAAATTGTATCTTTAATCTTCTTTTTCAATTTGTTCTGTATATGTTATTTTTGTTGTTAAGGTTTTGGTATCAGTATTCTTGGGAGTCTAAGAATGTTTAAAATCTGTTATTCTCATCTTAGTTCTAATTTCTCTTCTAACTCCTCATTTTTGTAAAATCCTCTTGCAGTCCCTCACTCTTGAATCATTGAACTAAATACAGTAGTCAGTTCTGTGAGTATTCTAATGAAAGTTTAAATAAACTTGGATCCTGATTACTCTATGTATTTCTAACTTCAATAATGTATAATTTGACAGTTTACTAGTAAAATTGTTTGTAATGCACATTATTTTGTAGGTACTATCGTATTTAATACAAACAAATTTCGCCCCCCACTATTGAATAATTGATGAAGTCAGTTCTCACAAGTTGTTTATATGTTTATTTAAATAAACTTTCCATTGATTTTAATTCCTACTTCTATAGTGTTCAATATTTTCAGTTACGATGGCTGAAATAGCAACAGCAGCCAATGAAGGACCAAACACGAAACCCTTGCTTGAGAAGCCTCATCCAGACGGTGATGTTAAGGTGATCAACTTTTCGGAGATGGAATTAGAAAACGCCAAAGTCAATGATGAACACGGTATGGGGGTTCGTCACCCTACTACGTGAGTAGAAATGTTGAAATACCCCTCCTCATTGAAAAATATTAGAAAGTTTCCCATATAGGAAATAAGCTATTACAGTAGGTCTCAGGGTAAGATCTGGACCCAGGACCGATTTACTTTATTATTTTGATATCCCAAGTGAACAAACAACATCCTTTCAAAATCATATACTGTACAATACAATACAACAATGTAATTATACAATTATACATCCAGAAGCACGATAACTCAAGTAATTACCTCTCATAAGTGTAATGCTTTAAATAAAACTCATTACAGACGTTTAAACTAATTTGTTGAAACGAGTTTGCTAACCAGCATGATTGGACTGTGTGAACGGGGTTTTATAGGATAAACATTTGGTAGTCCCATTTTTGCCCCCCAAAACATAAAATTTAACAATTTCTTTCTAAACTTTTACGCCTACAGTGTTGTGTTAAATTTTTTACATGGTTCACATATAGTTATAGCCCAAAATATTTTGTTTCAGTTTCTTTGAGACCCTGTTCCACTTGATCAAGGGAAACATAGGATCTGGAATGTTTGCAATGGGAGATGCCTTCAAGAACGCAGGTCTTATGCTCGGCCCCGTGCTGACAGTCTTCCTTGGAGTCATTTGTGTTTACGGGAATCACGTCTTGGTTAGTGGTGTCCTTTGGTAGATAAGATTCATACAAAATCAATACAACTGTTTGGGTGCGTATGTTAAGGAAAGATGAAAAGGATGAGATGACAGCTATAATGTTACTAGATTGGTTGTTTCTTTAGCCAAAACCATTAAAAGCCCATAATGGCCAAGGATAGATGGGTCCAGTTTTAAACCATCAAAAAGATACTGATGTTTTTCAGGATTTAACTGGTTAACCCTCTGAGAGAATTAACGATAGTTTGCTCTAACACAAATAGTAGGTGGACTGATCACCTTTAGTACTTTTATGAATAAACAGTACTTCCGTTTCTATTGTTATCTTTTGAATCAAGTTATCAGTAAAATAACTAATCAACAAAGTTAATTTCTGTAAAATTTGAATTTGCTCAAATAATTGCTCATTTCCAGATCAACAGTTCTAAAGAGTTAGCTCAGCGGCGTAACCTGAAAGTATATCCAACGTTTCCTGACACGATGGAGTGGGCCTTCCAAACGGGTCCACGATACTTCCGTCGCTTCTCAAAAACTATCAGGTTTGTTTGAGTATCAATTACCAAATATAAGAGAGAAAAGTGAAATGTATAGGGTTCTCAGAAAAGTAAGGTAGGGGGAACATCCTTCTCTCATATTTGAGTTAAAATATGCACATAGTGGCGTCCCCATCTTCAAATTGATATTGATATAACACAAATTGATATAATTGATAAAACATTCTGTTCAAAATGAATAGTTTAAATTATTTATTATATCTGTAAATGAAAAACTGATGTTCCTTGGTGAACATTTAAGCAACACTAAAAATCTTTATTTATTTACAAATTGGAATAGAAGCATATTTTTTGTAATCATCTGTTTAAAGAAAGACAAAGTTCAATATAATTAAACCTTTAACTAACATAACATTTTCTCCGGGGCGAGTTTAAGTCATCAGCTTGACTAGTTTAGCAGTCGGTCTTCTCCAGGTGCCGGTGGACGTTTTGATGTCTGCCACCCTCACTTGGCCATCTCGTCCAGGGTAAACAGCTTCGACTACACCCTTTGTCCACCTTCCTCTGGCTTGGTTTTCTTCAGTTATAAGGACCAAGTTACCGACTTGCAGATTTACTTGTTTTGTGTGCCACTTGGAGCGTTTGTTTAGTAAAGGCACATATTCTTTCAGCCAACGTTTCCAGAATTTGTCTGCCATGTCCTGTGCGATCTTCCATTGTCTATGCAGGTGCTTCTCCGTTATAATGACAGCTGGTGTGACTCTATCTGCTCCTCCCTGGAGAAAGTGGTTTGGTGTCAAAGGGAGCTCATCATTAGGGTCGTCTGATACAGGAAATAAGGGTCTGTTGTTGATTATGTATTCTACTTCACATAATAGAGTAGTCAACGTTTCTTCTTTAGGAGCTTGGGTGTTTAAAATCACTCTTAAACATTTCTTCACCGATTGTATAAGACGTTCATGCGCACCACCCATGTGAGGGCTCGCCGGTGGTAGAAAAGTCCACTTCATCATCTTCCCCACGCAGAACGTTTTAATTTGTTCGTTATCAAACGACTCAAGTCCTTTTCTTAATTCGTTCTCTGCGCCCTTAAAGTTGGTACCATTGTCTGATATCAATTCCGAAGGACAACCCCGCCTTGCTGCAAATCTCCTGATCGCAAGAATTGCCGAGTCTGTATTGAGAGAAGCTGCAATCTCCAAGTGTACCGCTCGCACTGACAGACATGTGAACAACACTCCATATCGCTTTTCTCTTCTGCGACCTATAGTGACTTCCAGAGGCCCAAAATAATCCACAGCCACACAGGTGAATGGACGTCCATAAGATTCTAATCTGTTTGCCGGAAGAGGAGCCATCTCAGGATTTTTAGGTGTGTTTCTGCGCAGCTGACACTTCTTACAATTTGCCCAACAGCTCTTAATTGCTCGCTTCAAACGGATTACCCAAAATCTTTGTCTCATATTATTTGCTACAGTTTCTTGACCTTGATGAGCTGCCTGTTCATGTTCATGTTGGATCAATAGGACTGTAAGTCGATGTTTAGGATCTAAAATTATGGGATTTTTCAGGTCTTGACTGATTTGGTTCCCATATTCAGTCCTTCCTCTCATTTTCAATAAGTTCCCTGTCAAAATAGGGCTTAGCTTATGAAGTCGACTTTCTCGAGGAACTGGCTTGTTCTCCTCAAGATTCTTCATTTCTTTAGGAAAAGATTCTAGTTGTGAAAGTCTGAAGCAGGTTTCTTCAGCTCGTTGAAGCTCTTCAACACCAAGACTCACATTTGTATTTCTCTCAGATTTACATCTCGTATTGGAAATGAATCGTTGCATCCATGCTACTGCTCTTATGAGTCTGGAGTATTTTGAAAATCTCTCCATATCGATAACATTTTCTTTGTTTTCAGGTAAAATTGCTAAGGCTACTTCATTGCAGTCTTCTTTTCTCGGAATGCTTTCAATTTTTGGCCATTCCTTTTCTTTTTTAAGTAAGAAGGATGGACCTTGGAGCCAACGGCAATCGTTCGTTAATGGAGTTGCTGATTCCCGTGTAGCTTCATCAGCTACATTTTCTGTCGTAGGTAACCACCTCCATTGATTTCTGTCTGAGTTGCTCAGTATTTTATCAACACGATTAGCAACATAGGCTGACTTTTGCTTTTGAGTTGCTTGAATCCAGCACCACACAATTCTTGAGTCCGTCCAAAAGTATGTTTGGTCTATTTCCATTTTGTGAAACTGATAGATCAAAGATGCAATTTGACTGCCTAATACAGCTGCTTGCAGTTCAAGTCTAGGGATGGTGGACGACTTTAGGGGAGCAACACGTGATCTTGCCAGTACAAAAACAACTTCCACGCAATCTTCTGGTTTTTCAGTCCTAAAATAAGCAACCGAACAAAATCCTTTCTCACTTGCGTCACAGAAAATATGTAATGATACAGTGCAGTTTGCAGTCAAGTTGTAGCATCGAGGTATTTTCAGATTTTCCGAAATCTTCACATCTTTCATCCAATTTCTCCATGCCTTTTCCAACTGCGCTGGAATTCTTTCATCCCACTGGACATTCATTTTCCACAGATTTTGTACCAGAATTTTGCCCTTCATTGTGATTGGAGTGATAAAGCCTATTGGATCATAAATGGACATCACAGCCTGGAGCACCTGTCGTTTGGTTGGTGGCTCTTTTAGATCAACGACTTCTTTCTTCACTTTTACAAAGTTGATTTTGAAAAGGAAGAAATCCTCATGGAAATTCCAGTGTATCCCGAGTACTCGCTCTGTGTCATCAGTTGTTATTCCAACATCTTCTTCTTTCAAGTAGTTTTTTGACCAACTTTTCTTTGGCAGACAGCTCATTAACTCTGGTGAATTGCTAATAAAGTTCCTCAAATTGAAACCACCTTTTTTACATATGTTTACAACTCCTTCTATTAAGCTCTTAGCTTCTTCCACAGATTGGTTGCTATCAAGATAATCATCCATGTAGAATTGTTGATTTACAGCTAGCTTTGCGTCTGGATGTTCCTCTCCATGTTTTTCACTATTTTTTCTAGTTATGTAAATGGCACTGGTTGGTGAGCAAACTGCCCCAAAAATCATTGATGTCATACACCACTCCTGTAATTTTCCGTCAGTTTCTTCCCTCCATAAAAAACGTAGTGAGTCTTGATCTTCTGGAATAATCTTTATTCTCAAAAACATCTCTTCAATATCTGCTGCGTATGCGATTTCATGTTTTCTGAACTGGAACAGAATACTTATCAGGCTATTGAATAAATTTGGTCCAGGTAGTAGACAACTGTTCAGGCTCTTTCCATGTGATTTTGACGCAGCATCAAACACAAAACGGAACTTGTCCGGTTTTCTGGGATTGTAGACAGGAAAGTGAGGAAGGTACCAGGTTTTCTCACTTTTGTTCTTTACCTCATCCAAATTTAACTTTTTTGCATATCCCTTTTCAGCATAACTTGCTATTTTCTGATGATATTGTTGACATAGTTTTGGGTCCTCTTTCATTTTATTTTCAACGTAGTTAAATCTCTTCAATGCAACGGAACGACTTTCTGGTAACCATGGTTTGTCTTCTTTCCATAACAAACCAGTTTGCCAACAACCATCTTCTGTTTGTGAACAGGTATTTTCTAATATTTTTTCTGCTCTAACTTCTTCATCACTTTTATTGGATTCCTTAATCGGGCAGTCGATAAAATCCCTCTCAAAACTTTCTTTAACTAGTGTGTTAAGCTCCAACATATCTGAATTTGTTTCATGTTTAAACATAACAAAGTCGTTGTCTATACGAGTTTGATAGTTTACATTTCCAGTAGGACCATTTATTGTCCAACCTAGTTTCGACTTCAAAGCAACCGGTGCATTTGTAGGTCCAATGATTACTTTCAGAGGCACTGTCAAATGTACATGTTCATGTCCAATCAGTAGTCGTGGACGACCACGCTGAAACACTTCTTCAGGGATTTCCTGTAAATAAGACCATTTATTTTTCATTTGTTCTGAATTCATAGACTGTATTGGTAACTGCAAGGCTGTCAAAGTCTTCACGTTGTTTAGAGTCAAGTGTTCGCCTGTATCTCCTATAACTGTCAGTGTTACAGTCTGAGATTCTTTTTCTGTATAAACAGATCCATCTGTCCAGGAGAAAGATACAGGTTTAGTAGGTCCATCAATTTCAAGTTCTTCAACCAATCCCTTTTCGATGACAGAAATAGTTGAACCGTCATCAATTAAAGCAAATGTTTCAATTTGCTTGCCATTTTTTCCTACCAATGTTACTGAGAGAACCCTCAACAACACTCTTGCAACAGGTTCTTCTTGAAACCCCATATGTTCACTGTGAATTTCCAATTTAGGTGTCTCTTTATTAGCACCTTTTTCTTTTGAGGTCACGTGTAACAGTTTATTATGGAAATAGGTGCAGCCATTAACTCCACAAGCAAGTTTGTTACGACAAGTCATCGCTCGGTGTTTAGTCTTCAAGCAATTGAAACACAGACTGTTACTCTTGACTGTCTCCCATCTTTTATTTACATCATACTTTAGGAATTGCTTGCATTCTGTCAATGTATGGTCTTGTTTTTTGCAGCAAACACATATACGTTTTTTAAACTTCTTGTCACCTTCATGTTGTACTAATACAAAGTTCTTGGAGTTTGATTCATTTCTTGATGACATGTTTTTAAAGTTTCCACTAGTAGATGTACTGGGAGCACATATAATTGCTGCATCCGCCACAGAAGAGAGCCACGTCGAAAAGCTGTCGAGGCCAATTGGTTGTTTCAATTGAGACTGTGGTGAAGTGACAAACATTCCCCAGTTGAGCTTCATGTTGGTGGACAGTTTTTCTGTGAGCTCTTCCATAAGTTGTGGGTTAAACAAGTAGTGGTCCTGCTTCAAGGATTTTACCGTAACTACTAAGTTCCTTACCATGTCACTAAAAGCAACCAAAGTGTCAGGCTTATAGTCCTTAGTTGGTGGTCGACCTTTCACGCTTGCTATGAGATTTTTAATAATTATATCTGGTCTTCCAAAACGCCGTTCCAACAAATTAACAATTTCTGGTACGTTCTCAGGATATATCAACAGTGCTGATATCATTTCTTTAGCTTTTCCAGTAATACACTTCTGAAGTCTTTGAAGATTCTCCAAATCAGTGTAGTCATTAATTTCAGTAGATCGCCTGTATTCAGCTATCCAAGCGGGCCATTGGTCTAGATCTCCGCTGAAATTAGGTAGAGCTGACAATATTCTCGCCGGCATCTTCTCTCTAAATATCATTTTATCAGGTTGACAATCTCGAGGGAAACACGAAACATCTCGAGGAATTCTCCTTCCTTCGCTGAAAGCTACAGTCCTTGCTTCTCGAGGATTTTCACAGTTTTCTTCTCGAGGCTGGAAACTAGACTGTACTTCGTGATGCGGCAAGGATACCTCCTGCTGTACACTCTTCATAATATTTACTGGAACATTAGTACAAGGCTTCAAAACGTTATTTTTATTAATGTCTTCAGCTTGATCCTTTGTCTGCATCCACTTTTCAACAGCTTCCTTTGTGGGCAACGGTCGTGGAAGAGAAGAAATTGAAGTCCTAGATGATCTGCTACTGACTCTTGACGATTCCCTGCTAAGCGATGACAGTCTGTCTTCAAGTAGCTTCTTCTTCATTTCTATTTCCTTCCGCTTGGCTTCTTCCTCCACTCGGGCAAGTCTTTCATCAGCTGCTGCTATTTTTACTGCTGCCTCTGCCTCTGCTTCAGCTGCTGCTATTTTTACTGCTGCCTCTGCCTCTGCTTTCTCCGCCGCCGCCTTTGCTTTAGCACATGATACAACAAGGGACGTTTCTTCTTCCTGTATCCTCATCTGTTTAAAGAAAGACAAAGTTCAATATAATTAAACCTTTAACTAACATAACACATTCAATGGTACTAATAAAATGATTTTGTTACCTTACAATATCCTTGTTTGTTGCTAGTAAGCTACACCACGACGGTTGATCAAATAAATGTTATGTCTTTTGTTAAATGTACGAGTGTCCTGTGTTTTCAATATTAAGTTAACAATGAACCTGAGAAGAAGTTAATCCTGATGATGTGGTAGTTGCCCTGAAACATGTAGCAATTACCAACAACAAACAAGGATATTGTAAGGTAACTAAATCATTTTATTAATATGAGCAATATCCAGAAGTAGGACAATATGAATTCTGATTCAATGTGTTACACTTAAGTGGTGTCTAGCACTAGTCGCTGATGTCACGTCGGGCAAAGTCCAACACCGCCCCCCATTGCCCTTATGTACTTCAATGCTCACTGTGGGGGGGAGGGTACTGTGTGCCTTGTGGGGTAGAAATTTCCACTCAGTCCTTGCTGCTTGGGCTCTTCCTTGCTTGTCACAAGTATATTTCCGACATAACATACCTTAATTCTTTTTGAGTACTTAAAATAATTAAGGTAACAGAAGCGCTCCTAGGTTCTGTGGTAGGCACTAGCAGATTCAAACGCAGGAAGAGCCCGAGTTGTGAGCACTATGTGGAAATTCCCACCCCGCACGGAACAGGGTCTTCATACACCGTGAGCGATGTAGTACATGAGGGGGGCGTGGGCTATCAAGACACCAGTACCACTACTAGACTTAAGTGTACCACATTGAATGGTTCCTCTGTAGGCTACCTAACAGATTGCTCGCTTTGGTAGGGCTGAGAGGGATTGGAATTTATAGCGTTCAATTATCACATTATAATTATTGTATTATTGTTTTTTTCCAGACTGATGGTGAAGATTTTCAACATCATTGCTCAGCTGGGATTTTGTTCGGTTTACTTTGTTTTCATATCATCAACACTAACAACGGTAAGTCACATGATTTAAGTTGATTAGTACCTCTGATGACAAATTATTTTGATTGCTTAACTACATCGGTTACTGAGAAACACTTAACAAGTTAGGATTCTGTGTTCTGTGTGTTCACATGACCCAAATGTGCTGAATAACACGAATTTGATGTTTAGAACAATTAATTGAAGAGACTACCAAAAGGAAATAAGTAACCATTTTTTGGTGATCCAAAAGAGGATACTACCTTAAAATCCAATACCGTAATTGTTTAACATTTTGTTATTTGATTTTACTCTTATCATTTGTTAGCCAGTTTTTCAATGACAAAGGAGTTGAATTGTGCCACTAAAAGAGTGTGTTTGTGGAATATTATTTTAATGTAAAAAAACATAAACAATTCTAGTTTACAGTAAGCCATCTTATCAGTTTGACTTGGTTACAACTTTGGAGTATTTTACACAGTGGTGTAGTCATAAACTTTCCAGTGCAGGGACACTCACCACCGTTGCGGAAAATATTGGTAGCTTATAGTTTCTTTAAAAAAAGCAGTGCGGCAACGCTGTACCCACACTTTCCTGCCCCACTACACAACTAATTTGATGAAGATCAGTAATCTACCGCAGTGTCGTCTGTCAGTGGCTCAAATCAACTGCGATGACATCAGTTTTTCAATTAGATTAAAATAATGGAAACAACTTTAACGTGGTAACAGAATGTTTAGTTCCATCAATAGATATCATAGGTGTTCAAGTTCACCTCATCTTTTTCACGATATCGTTAAAAACAAATTATATCAATAGCAAAATATGACAGTCAATGCCTCTTGAATCTACTGTATAAACAACCTGTTCAGATCCTGGAACACTACGGTCACCATGTAGATGTCCACGTACTCATGGCGCTCATCTTCATTCCGATGGTGTCTACCGCGATGGTTCGTTCCCTCAAGTTCCTCGTTCCGTTCTCGGTGCTGGCCAACATTCTGACTGGCCTAGGAGTGTTCTTGACAATGTACATCTCCATGCACGACCTACCTCCCGTATCGTCCAGGCCTGCCATCGCTCCTATTGATAGGCTGCCGCTGTTCTTCGGCACAGCCATCTACTGCTTCGAAGGAATCGGTTTGGTAATTTTTTACTGTAGATTATTTTGGTACATAACTTTTGTACTGTAATAGTCCTTTATTGTAGAAAATCTATTAGTTGATTTATTTAAAAGACAAATTATTTTCAAATTGTAAGTAACAATACTGATATATTAGATTTTGTCTGATCCCAACACAAAAGGGTGTGTACTTTAGGAATATGAAAAAAGGATGCTGGTTGAATGGGCGAGATGTTAGATTTATTACTGGAACTTGATCAGCTGATGATTATTAATTTAGTCAGGGACTAGTATCCCAATGGCCACTCAGCTACCCAGCAATGTTCTATGTGATTTAATAGTGTGATATTCAAGTGCACAACATACTATATCGATTACAGCATATTATTTTTCATGAGAAAAATTTGTTGTTGCGTGTACAATGTCAATAAATGTTGATATAATTTGGCCATTTAGCAATGCTTCACTATAGTTTATTCAGGCTACATATTAATAACAGAGCGGTTTGATGGCATCCTGCTGATGATTGTTAAAACTTGAACTCCTGATAGGTTCTGTTTTATATGAAATTAATCATAATATTTTTAACCACGATGTTTGTGTGCAGGTTTTACCACTCCAAAGTGAGATGAAGAAACCAGACAAGTTCGGAGGTTGGTTCGGGGTGCTGAACGTTGGAATGTCATTAGTCGGATGTGTTCTGCTGTGGATGGGTTTCGTTGGATACCTCAAGTATGGAGAGGATGTGGAGGGCAGCCTTACGCTCAACTTGCCTCCGGCTAGTGTGTGAGTAGCATTGTTGCCTGCGGACCGAACGAGACATTCCATTCTCGTATTCAAGCTGTAACTAGTTTTAGAATAAAAATGAACCGTTGAATTTGAAGCTAGGGAGAGATTGGGTCCATGCAAATTACTGATGATGATAGCGGAAATGATCTACTTTGCGTACTGTTTACAATATGATCATTTTCCAGCATGCAGTGGTAGGAAAAATTTTCATCATCCAATTTTCCTTTTCCAGCTGCCACTTCTGAATTCAATATACAGGGATATATTATCCTTTTATCTATATAGCTTTCCATTTCAGGTTCTCTGAGGTGGTCCAGCTCACCATAGCCGTAGGGTTACTCTTCTCCTATGCTCTACAGTTCCACGTGGCTGTCTGTTTTGTGTGGCCAGACTTCAACAGGAAGCACGGACCATTCAAGAGACCTGTGCAGGCAGAGCTCTGTGTCCGCTTCTGTCTGGCTCTTGTCACATGTAAGACTTCATCATTTATAAACTACTACTACTACTACTACTACTTCTCCCATGGCGATACCCCAAGAGTAGTACTTGGCCTCATTTATAAACTGCCAAATTAAATGTTAACAATATTATTTATGTCTAAAACTCAGATGATTGGCGAAGATTCCACTTTATTACATGCTGCATCTTTGAGAGATCATCATATTTGTTTCATATAAGATTGACGTTGAGGCAATAATATCTTAAGTTGAAGACTTATTGAAAACTATTTCATGAAACTATATAGCTATTACGATAGATATCACAATACTATACAATATATCAGTTACTGTCCCAACCGACTATAGCATGCTATATTGTAACAATAGTTAAAGTTAATGGGTAACAACTTGAAGACAAGTTTCAAAATGTGTTATTTGAAGAATATTTTTTGTTGTTTTGGTATAGCTATCTACTCCAAATGTTTTTATTTTGGAATTTCCCAGCTTTGGCTAGGTGTTTGTACTGATGATGTCATTACATTACTCCATCAACTTTGTGGTTCAGTTTTGTAATGTAATCTGACCAACACTACTTTGCCACAGGATGCAGCCAGTTTCAGGGTCTTCACAATATTCACACTTATTACTGGACACTAAAATTAAAATTACTATAGTTAGTTTCAAACATAAATAAATTACACAAGAAGTGATTGATTTTTAATATTTTTGTCCCCAGTCATCGCAGCTGAGGTAGTGCCACACCTTGGACTATTCATCTCTCTGCTCGGATCTGTCAGTAGTACAGCTCTCGCACTAGTGTTTCCGCCCCTCTGCGACCTCGCCCTGCACTACGGCCGCACTCCGGGGCCGAACTACGCCTTTGACGTGCTCTCCCTCACCCTCGCACTCATCGGCTTCCTCACTGGATCGTACTTCAGTCTACACGACATCTTTGTAGCATTCTTCGGTCAGTCGTCATGACAGAATGGAACGATTTTTTTAACAAATGTATGTTTTCAGATCCAAAAGTGTATACATGGTGGATCGTTGTGCTTACGCTGGTTGAATTTCACCCACTTAAAGTGTAGTGTTGTCTTGTATTTTATGCGGAAATGTAAAGTAGCGTATTGATTTAGTCAAAAATGCAATATTGTATTTAAGTGAGGAATTTGTATTTATTTTGGAGATTTCATAACGTTTTGATGTGCCTTAGGGATAATTTTTCCAACTGTTGTGTAGTTATTGATATAAAACTGTAAGAATTTTGATTAATTTACAAATGTAACTATTATTTTCATTGTTACGCTGGTTACCTATGATATTAGCATTTAGCAGCTTTAATCGATGACAGAAGGAGCTTGCTTATCAACGAGCAAGAAATAGGTGTGTTCAATAACATTTTTGCTTTTAATATAATTTTTCAAAAAATCTAAATATTACTTGCCAAAATCTGTTTTGTTTCATCAATAACTTACACAATGCATAAATAACATACTTCATTGACTATTGACATAAACTAACTGTTCTCTTAGTTACAGCATACTATTACATACAAATAAAAACATTTTAACACAGTGCTAAAAGTAATTTAAATGTAATTAATTGAAATATTTGTACCGTCTGATTTTATTAGGTTTCATTTCGGGTCATATTTCTTTGCTGTTATTTACATTAGTGCAATGTTTTTATGTTATTTCTAAAATACGGGTAACCGAGTGGTTAGTGTTTAACTTATTAGAAAAGAAGGTGCTTCGCCTAATAAATAGAATGGTAGTTGTTGCTGATGAGAAGAATGTCAGTAGTTTTACAATGGTTTATAACTGGATCCAGCTGTCCTTGATCATGAAGCTTTAATTTTCCTAAATCTATCTATCTATACATTAATAGGCAAGCATGTTTCTTTAAAACCTTTTTTCTCAGCTTGTGTGCATCGTGGGGTAAATCTGCGCATACCGTTAGAAAGCAATTTTCCTGTAGGTGTGCAGAATCCCTTTATAAATTTAAATAGGCTCAAAGATAAGCACAAAAAATGAGATTGAAAATTTGAAACAATTAACATGGATTTTATGCGTTGCCATGCTGGTGACGAAATAACAACGAAATATAAACAGAAAATCAAAACAAATGGAAGAAACTCCAATCACATGTTTTATTTACAGTGTGGGGTGATAGGCAAGCATGTTTCTTTAAAACCTTTTTTCTCAGCTTGTGTGCATCGTGGGGTAAATCTGCGCATACCGTTAGAAAGCAATTTTCCTGTAGGTGTGCAGAATCCCTTTATAAATTTAAATAGGCTCAAAGATAAGCACAAAAAATGAGATTGAAAATTTGAAAAAATTAACATGGATTTTATGCGTTGCCATGCTGGTGACGAAATAACAACGAAATATAAACAGAAAATCAAAACAAATGGAAGAAACTCCAATCACATGTTTTATTTACAGTGTGGGGTGATAGGCAAGCATGTTTCTTTAAAACCTTTTTTCTCAGCTTGTGTGCATCGTGGGGTAAATCTGCGCATACCGTTAGAAAGCAATTTTCCTGTAGGTGTGCAGAATCCCTTTATAAATTTAAATAGGCTCAAAGATAAGCACAAAAAATGAGATTGAAAATTTGAAAAAATTAACATGGATTTTATGCGTTGCCATGCTGGTGACGAAATAACAACGAAATATAAACAGAAAATCAAAACAAATGGAAGAAACTCCAATCACATGTTTTATTTACAGTGTGGGGTGAAAATAGAGAAGTGAGTACATTACATATTTTTGGTCGAGTTTCGACCACTGGACGACCTCTCGTACTTATTTAATACGCAAGCAGATTTTTTGTGACAATTACTCCTCCGAAACTACTGAACCGATTTACATGTTCTTGGTGTCATTGGAAAGAGCGTAACGTGAAGTTGTGCAGGAAACTTTCTTTTTAGGGAAATAATGAGAGAGTGAGGCCATGGAGCCCTTTAAAGTTTCGTATTTCTCCATAAGATTAACATTGGAAACAAAAATTGTTATGAAACTCCAGCTGTTGTCAGAAATCAAAAGTGAGAAGTTATGTTAGTTGTAAACAGTCAATAAGTTTGCTAATTTAACAGTTTGCTACAAACTTGCTGACTTGGTTGAAATTCGTTTTCAAATAACGCCTGTAATACTTAGCAATTGCTCGAATTCGAGCAACAGGGACACTAGTAAATAAATAAACTACTAGAAAAAGCATTTTATTTTAATAGGAAAGGCATTGCTTTTTCCAGCTTTGGCTTTTCTTTGCTTGTTAAACCTCAGATAAAAAAGGTTTACTTTTGGAGGGTTGCTAGTGAAGAAATACTATTCTAATTTTTTATATTTTAGCTCATGATATTTATTTATACTAATGTAAAAAAAACGGCGTTTTCTGTATTTGACAAGATAAAATTCATATACAATGACAAAATTTATTACATTAGTTATTTCTTTAAGATTTTACCATTTTTGTATACAGTAGACTCCCTCTTATTCGGACACCTTTTAACCGGACTACACTTGGTGGAAATGACATCTCTTACCGGACAATTTTTATCAGCACATCTATTTAACTGGACTAGATCGGCAGGAAGTGGGCGGTACTGAAACGACCGTTCTCGTGGGAAAGATTTGAGACCAGTGATCACGTGTCTAAATACAATGCTCTCATAAATTTAAGTCAAATACACATTTAAGCGGTCCGTTTTTACGAGTAGATGTAGATGTAGATTTAACTGGAAAACCTGTTATCTGGACTGTCCTCAGTCCCGAGGAGTACGGATAAGAGGGAGTCTACTGTAAATAAAACTAGATGTAGGCTACTTATTTTATAGTGAATATTTATTAAGTATTTTTTTTGTAAATAAATCTTTAGATTAGAGTTTATGTGTTCTTTTTTCCAATGCAGCAAGCACTCTAAATGATATGGTGATAACACTCAAATGTTTTTAATCATATTCCAGTCTGCTAATTTAAAATTTAAGTACTATATTCTTAACAGTATTTTTCAAGATTCTCAATGTGTACGGTCATATTTGGATACATTTGATGAATTGTGATATTTTTCACCCTAAATTTACGAGATGAAATTGTGAGAAAAACAATAAAACACATTACTGTATTAACAACACTATAAAACAGTTTATCCACGGTTAAAAGTAATTTACCCATAACTTATTTAGCGGGCTTATTTGGCTTGGTAATTTTTTAACAAAAATATATTAAAAGAATTATTTAATATAAAACTCAGTTTAAGCAACATTGTCCCTTTAATTTACAACACTAAGTATTAAAGTGAACATAATTATTGAATGTATTTTTTCGTAAAAAAAAAATTAAAAACCGTAAAGTAAAATAGAACAGAATTGTTATCCTTGGAAGGAAATTTTACAATAACAAATCTGTTGCTTGACCTTTTTTGCTCAAAGGTTTCAAACTTCTCAAAAAGATTTATGCAATAATTAAGATCAGCATAAACTCCAATATTCTGTATTCTATTTTTACCATGCACTTTTTCATCAAGATATCTCCCACTTTATTCTTATGAAGAGCAAGTTAATTACTTCCGATGTTTTAAACTTGTGACATATGTTTTATATGTCTTCATAAAATTGAGCAATTTACTTTTACTTTACTGCACGGATGTAAAACCTCCATAAAAATATCAAAAGAGTATTTCCATTTCTACTCTTATAAGTTAAAGAGTGTGAATCCATTTGAAAATGCAATTTCCTCTCCACCGTTAGTCAAGCATACATTGTAAATCATGTCAAGACAAGATAAGAGCAACACTGCTGTTAAGTCTGTGCAGGTGAATGAATCATTTTTATATTATAACTAATTAAACTGCCTGTGCCATTGTGATCGGCGTTTTTTTCCAAAATTTAGAGTGGTTGTGGGGGATGTATGTCGGTTGCACAAATCAGCTGGCTTCTACAGGGGCTTCTCGGTGGCTCTCCACAACTTTTCTTCAGGTAGGAAAGAGTTCAGCAAACCTACATACTCTGATAAAACTTTGTCAATAAATTAGGTGCTTTCAAACTGTGTCAAGCATTCCTTAATCGGTTAAAATTAATGGTACTGGCTAAAGAACCAAGTTGATCTTAACAAAATGTTCATCTCATTCATCATTCATCCAACTCGTCTTCCTTAAAAACATGCCCTGGTGTGGTCCAAATTGAATACAATCTAATTCATTTTTATCACATGAACATACAAACATACAACTCTAAAACATGTGCCATTTTCAACAAGACAACAGATAATGTACGTCACTTCAAAAAAATTTCCATGGTTGTAAAAATATTAGAGTTGTTTAAAGGGATAGCAAAACTAGTCAGGGATTTTTTTCACATTACTTCAGGCTAGACCTAGAGGCTATGGCATTATCACTTGGATAAAATCCATTGGTGATTTGGTGGGATTTGAACCCCTGACCTCAGGAAACGAAGCCCCACACTCTACCACTAGACCAGTTCGCTCCCCCAGCTGTGGTTATAATGCTTGCCTTACCTAACAAAAGGTCAATATTAGAAGATAAAAATACAAAAACGCAAAAAAAGTAAATGCCAGTGAAGCACACAAATACATCTTTGTGTTAGTAGGAGCGATCTGGTCTAATGGTTAGAGCGCGGGACTTCGGTCCAAGAGGTCCCGAGTTAAAATCCCGCCAAATCACCAATGGATTTTTTCTAAGTGAAAATGCCGCAACCCCTAGGTCTAGCCTGAAGTAATGTGAAAAACAATCCTGGGATTGTCTTGTGCCTAGCGTCCTAGGACAAAAAAAGTAGCACAGTAGTTAGAAAAATATAACATCTTATACAGGGTGTGCAACTAACTGTTTTGTAGTGTTTAAAGGGATGCTCCAACTTGATGCGAGTTATGTGCTTCTGCATCAGACAAAAGAAGAGGAGGCGACTGACGACAAAATACAATCTCAAATAATTGACTGTGAGAACCTCACTGTGCCTGAAGTTAAGGAGAAATGTGATATTTGTGTAGCTCAACGGACAACGTAAGTAGTACATCACAGCATAAAATCATATATTAAACATACTCCCTAGTAGATTTGTCATCAATATGGATCAGCTGGTAGTTTTATCGTTAGTTCCGTCCAGTGCCGCTAGGATCATGTTTTTGTTTACGATTTGTTTCTTATTATTTCAGCAATAGTAACAACATTTTGTCAACACTGCCCAGTGTCACCATCATGTAGACAAAACAAAAGCTTTTATATTTATAAAGCAGCTGAACAACAATCTTCAGATTTTACATTCGGATGAAAAGTCTAATTGTGTTTGTTAGTATGATAAAATATATGTGTTGGATATATTATCACAAGCAACATAAGGATTGTATATTATAGTCTGTACACAAAATTTAGGGGGTTTGAGGGGAAGTTTCCCCCGCTAATACTTTGCTTAATAAATATATTGCAGCTGATTTGCTATTTGCAAAATCTCAGCTGTTGGGCAATTATTTTAATGGTAAGATCGTGGAGGGAATAGATTATTCCCCTAAAAATGTCTAAATTTAATGAGCGAAGTGTACAACAAAGAGTACCTTTGACTATGCGGGGATAAGTACATCATTCACATTTTAAATATGTGGCCAGTTTTAGAGTGTGAATAGACATAGTTACCGGAATAGTGTATATATATATTTAATCATAAACCATACAATTAGTATTCTACTTTGTCTAGTGAAATCAATCCTCTTGTCTGTTTCAGCTATTTTCAGACCTTGTTCCACCTGATAAAATGTCACATAGGATCGGGAATTTTTGCGGTTGGAGATGTGTTCCGCAACCACACCGGCTTATTGCTGGGACCATTACTGACAATCTGTCTAGGGATAGTCTGTATATGCGACAACCACATATT